GGCAGCGCCAGGTCATCATGCAATGTAGACCAGAGGCAGCGCCACATCATCATCCAATGTAGACCAGAGGCAGCGCCACATCATCATGCAATGTATACCAGAGGCAGCGCCACATCATCATGCAATGTAGACCAGAGGTAGCACCACAAGCATGCCTGGCGCACAGAACAAGAAGTGCCAGCATGCTGCCTCCACCTCGTGCCGTCGTCCGCAACGCCAATGCACAGCCAGTGTCTAGCCAGCGTCGCACCATCATAAATGCCAGCATCTAGTCAAAGTCGAGCCAGCGTCAAAGCAGCATAGCAAGACTGAATGTCAAACCCCCGAAGACCAGCTCTTAAGTAATATTTGACGAAGCAGTGCGCTCCGGTCCCTTCCCTTCAATCGTCCTGATTGAATCACAGCCGAGGGCCTGGATTGTGTACAATTGCAGACTTTCCCCTTGGACATGATGTTGTCTGGGTGCCTGCATACAAACAAATGTGTGTGCTTGACTGACGGCCTGGGCTGGGTACCTCTGGACTTTGACTGTTGGTGTCACGATAATTGACAAAAGTCAATTGTCGCACGCCCAGGCCCTGAATCCTCGTGTGGGGTCTTTTTCCCCTGTTTCGGGCTAGGCTGAGGGCGGCCAAGTAGGCCCTCTGATATTCCACGAGACATTTGGCATGGGTTATTGCATTCCTGCAGGCCCAGTTTTCGAGTTTCATCGCAAAAAATACATTAATTCTCACTTAACCCATGTTCATATGCAGCAACAATGTCAGGAGCGGTAGGTAGGAGTTCTTTCCGACTAAACCATCTGGCTTCAGATGGAGGTTGAGACTTGAACGTTACCTTATACTGCTTCTGAGGTCTTCATTTGCCACCTGTAGAAAACTAGCCATGTTCTAGAATTTTCTCAACTTCGTATTCTCCATTCATAAAGGGTGGAAACATAGATGGCATGTTAGGAAAATTATCTCCTTCTACGTACGGTAGCAGTTTAGACTCGTGAAAGACATGGTATGTCCTTAGGTGTGGAGGTACATCTATGTGATAAGAAGGTCCCTCTGCATCTCCAATCACCTTGAGAACTTCCCAGGGTCCATAGTAGACAGGTAGCAGTTTTTTAGACACATTTTCTTCTAAGGAAAACTCTCTAGACTTAACCCAAACAAGATCTTCTTTTTGAAACTGTGAAGGTTGGCGGTGTTTATTAGCCTGTTCGATCATTTATGGTTGAGCTTTCTGTATATTTTCCTTAACTCTCTTGGTGTCTTCTTCATACAAAATTGCGAATTCACGCGTACCTGGGGGTAACCTCTGAATCTGGCCCCTTGTTAACACATCAATGAGACGCATAGGCTTCCATCCTTTATGCAGTGTGTTAGGCGTTCTACTTGTAACAATATGTATTCCATTATGTTAGGCAGTAGCAATTTTAGGCAAGTTCTTATCCCAATCTATCTGATCAGGTTGGATATACATTCACAAAAGTTGTTTGCAAAGACGGTTCATTTGCTCAGTTTGGCCATTCGTTTCAAGATGTCTGTTTAACAACATGGTCGACCTGGTCCCATAGACTTCCATCAACGTCTGCCATTGTAGACTAGTAAACCGAACATCCCTATCACAGACGATGGTTTTCGGGAATCCATACTCAGAGACCCATCACATCTGAAATTTCTGGATAACGAGTTCGGTTCTAGCTTTAACAGGCAAAGGAATGAACATAGCATTCTTAGAGAATCTATCTACGATGATCATTACCTGATTGTTGTCATTTCTACTCTTAGTGAGGCCTGTAAAGTCAATGGAAATAGACTTACCTGGATCACTTGGAATAGGCAGCGGTCTTAGTAGTCACATTGGATTCTCATGTGAGGGATTGGTGCTCTGACATACAAGACAAGTCTGCACATAGGCTAGTACATCTTCCTTCATTCCTTTCCATTCAAAACGTTCACGCACATCGGCATACATCTTCTTAAAACCAACGTGACCTTCCGCATCTTGGCATTCCCCAATGATTAAGCTCTTGATTGGTTCTTGGTGAGGAATACACAATTTCTCTTTGGTTTTATCCAGAAAGAAGAGTAAGTCATCAGTCATTCGATATTCCGAAAATAACTCAGGGTTCTTTCGTATAGTCTCAACGATAGGATTCAAAATAGGATCACTCCCGTAACCCTTGCGGGTCTGTTCTTTCAGTTCGTTTCTGATGTCGAGATAGGAGACAATGGTTACAAAGAAATCTGCACGCTTGGACAAAGCATCCGCAACCATGTTAGACTTACCTTTGATGGTTTTCACCTCAAAGTCAAACGTATCCAGGAAAGCGGACCATCTTACCAACTTGTCAGAGAGTTTAGAATGAGTCTTGGTCCACTTCAAAGTAGAGTGATCAGAGTAGAAAGTGAAATGTCTCCCTAGCAAGTAGTGCTTCCAGGTATCCAATGTAGCAACAAGGCATACAATTCTCTTTCATATGTGGAGTTTGCCACTTTTTCTGACGGAAGTCTTCTAGACATAAACTCAATAGGTCTATATCCCTTACTGTCGTTTTGCTGTAGCACAACCCTAATTCCATACTGACTTGTGTAAGTCGTGACGATGAAAGAAAGAGAAGGGTCGACAATCTTTAAAACAGGGTGGTGAGTCAGAACTCGTTTTAACTTTATAAACGAGGACTCACAATCTTTGTCTCACAACCAAGGTTTTTCCTTTTTCGGTAATCTTCTCATAGGAGCAGCTATCAAGGAGAAGTTTCTAACGAACTTCCTATAGTAGCTGGCTAGTCCTGAGAAAGACCTTACTTCAGTTATAGCCTTAGATTGTGGTCAATCTCTGACTGCTGTAATCTTCTTTTCTTTAGGCCTTACTCCTTCCTCGTTCACTATATGCCCTAAGTACAAGACTTCAAGCTTAGAAAACTTAGACTTCTTCGGATTCAGTTTGAAGTTGTCCTCACGCAACTTCTGCAAAAATATTCGTAGTTGTTTTTCGTGATCTTCTAGTGTCTTACTATACACTAGAATGTC